CAATGGATGTATGCATGGATTGTGATCAGAGCTGTAAAAGCCCACAATAAAATTATTTAATTTAAAAAAAGAAATAGTAAGGGATTCTATGGATAATATAATGAATGATGCAAGAAGCATCAAAAGAAGGTGGAAGGAACACATGGAGTTATGTATTAAAAAATAATAGATTGACATACTCCCATTTCAAGAAGTAGTATGCGATCAAGAACCAATGATACTGAAGGAAGACATCTAAGCTGCACTGAAAGCACTATCAAAAAACAGCACACCAGGAACTGACAGAATACCAACTTAAATGTTACAGCAAAAGGAAGTGTACACTCATCTATGCCAAGTGATATAGAAGACAGGCCGCAAGGCATCCATATTTCTGCCCATTCTAAAAAAAGGTCATCCAATAGAATGTGGAAATTGGTAACAATATCATTAATATTACACACAAGAAGAAAATTCAATAATAGTTACAACAGTACATCAGTAGGGAGCTGCCAGAAATTCAAGCCAGATTCATGGCTTGAATCTGGACAAGAGATATCACTGCTCATGTGAGATGGATCTTGATGAAAGCAGAGAATGTAGAGAAATGTTTATCTGTGTTTTATTAACTGTGTGGATCATAGTTGGGGCCATCATCCTTAGGTTTGAATATTTGGGCCCATCATGCTTAGATTTGAATATTCATATTCATCATTTAGTACTTATGTGACCTTAGGAACGTTTTAACTTATTGTTCCTATGTTGCTACATATTTATAATATACATAACAATAGTATCTCCTTCAACTGGTTGTTTTGAGGAGTAAATGAGTAAAGAGTTTAGAAAAGTACCCAATAAATATGGACTCTTAGAATTGTGAGGTGGAATCATGACCTGAGTGGGTAGGGAAGAGTGGATAAGGATGCTTGAGGAAAGAGGTAAAGCTGTGATAGATCAATTTCAGACAATGGACAAGCAACAGAAGTGGGGTATGATTACTGAGCAGTTTAAAGGCCCATTTAAGAAATGGCAGTTCCCAGCTTCTGCTCTGCAGCAGACAGAGGTGACAGTCATGGTGAGCTGGCCACAGACAACGCTGCTTAATTCATGATTGTGATGAGAGGCATGAAGGACAAACCCAATGGCCACGAGGGTGCCTAAGTGAGGACCTGAGGAATTATGTGGATTCCAGGAAGGCATCCCAGAAGACGTGATACTTAACTTGAGAACTGGAGGAGTAAGACTTGGTGTGATGGTGAGAGTGTAGGTCAACTAGACTGAGGTGAACATAGGGGTGGAGCCCAACCTATCAGTCAGGTCGCAGCCTGATGGCACCTCCTTGGGAGCATGGTCTTTTGCATAAGAGAGAGAGACCCGGACTCGAACCAAGCCCTCTCTTGCCCCCTTTGCTTTATGCTGGCTCTGCATCATGCATCAAGTTCTTCTGTTGTGTCACCTGCCGATCCCAGAAGCCGTCAACAGATCACCAACCATGGATTCATTCACCTCTGTATCCACCAGCCTATGGCCCTCCTATGTGCTGTTCACCAGCTTTGGCAGTTACACAAGTCAGGAAAAGCCTCCAGCTTTCACCTGACCTGCGGACTTGAATCAGAATGGATTGGCTTACTGCTACAACTGTGTAAGGTATTTCTTGGTATAAACTTGTTCTATATACACACACACAAAAACAAATAAATAAATAACTGCCCATTTAAAATTTATAGTCACTAATTTGAAGTGAGATCAACCAACAGGGATAATAGTTTTTCTTCAATAAGGTGATGCTATTCAGAAGTGAACACAAAGTCCGTAGATAGCTGAATTTAACAAAATAGGCCTCATGAAAGGAGTGAAGCACCACAAAGGTTATAATGATATACATAAGGAAGTGATTATAATTGTTATTGTTAGGTGCCATTGAATTGGCTCTGATTCATAGATACCCTATGCACAACAGAGCGAAGAACCGCCCATCCTCACAATTGTTCTTATGCCCCGTGTTGAAGTCACTCTCAATCCATCTCTTTGAGGGTTTCTTCTTTTTCACTCTCCCTCTGCTATATCAAGCATGACATCCTTCTGCTTACTGGGGACTGGCCTCTCCTGGCAACATGTCTAAAGTATGTTAGACAAATTCTCATCATCTTTGTCTGTAAGGAGCACTCTGGCTGTACTTCTTCCAATACACACTTGTTTGTCCTTTTGGTAATCCAT